ATTTAAGTTGTTGGGAAAAAATCCTTAGATTTCCTTAGATTTTTTCTCTTCCTTAGATTTTCCTTTTCGACACTAGAATTTCCTTAGAAAAGGAAATTTCCTTGAAAATGGAAGCATTGTCGTGGAGACCGGAGACGTGGCAATCTCGTTCCCAGAGTATGCCTGTTCGCGGGTTAGGTTGAGGCACAACCTAACCCGCGAACAGGCATACTCTGGGAACGAGATTGGAGACGTGGAGTTATTATATCACATATTCCAGTGCTTCCACATTCAATTCAAATCTAAATTTCTAGTTGTTTCCATGAAAAATCCTGATTATCCTGCAGTTCAATAGTGCTAGTTCCATTTTGTAATTCATAATACCATAAACAGACACACAATTTTTTTTTCAATTCAAACCGTGAAGAAATCCCCTACGCTCCCCTACAGATTACCCTTTCTCCCCGTAGGTATTCCCCACTCCCTACAAGATATCATAATCCCCCACTGTAGGGGAATCCCCCTACGAGTGGCAGCCTTGGCGAAAACCGCTCAAGATTTGGCATTAATTCAATTAGTAAACAAGGTCACGGAACTTGAAACGCCGCCGAAACCGGAAGTTTCTAAACCGGAACTTTCTAAACCGGAAACTCAGCCAATACTGCCCGGAAACACGGAGAACACGGATAAACAGCAGCCAATGCCTCATGCATCGACGCCAAAATGCGAAGACCAAGAGATCCAGAAAATTATTGATAAATACGCAACAGTTTTCGTTGGTGAAGGGAAATTGAACACTCAACAAGTCGGGTTACATATTAATGAGAATATTAAACCAGTGGTTCAACCGCAGCGTCGTATACCATACCATATACGTAATGACGTATCAAAGGCGTTGCAGAAATTGGCTGTGGAAGATATGATCGAAAAAGTCTGTGACCAACCTGCCCCGTGGATTTCGCCAATTGTGTGTACCCCAAAGAAAGACGGTGGAACACGAATCTGTGTTGACATGAGAGCAGCCAACCAAGCGATTAAGCGAGAAAGACACATTATGCCAACGCTTTCTGATTTCCGTGCGGAAATGAATGGATCAAAATATTTTTTAAAATTGATCTCAAACAGGCGTACCATCAACTGGAATTGAAAGAAGAAAGTCGGTACATAACTACATTCTCGACGCACGAAGGCCTATTTCGCTACAA